CGACTTAGTGACTAAACAACAACAATAATAGTTTTTACCCTCACAGCACTCACATGCATTGTTACATCTTGCCAGGTTTGCAGGTTGGACACATTGAGGCACAAAGAAGTCAAGTGACACACTTTGAATCAGAGCCTGAGGCAGGACAGTGATACATGTTGAACACCTGCTGTGTTAGGCCCAGTTCTGAGTGCTTTCCATATATGAGGTCATTTAATTCTTACCACAACCCTGAAAGGTAGGTGTTACCAGTTCTCTTTCTATAGATGGGGACCCTGAGATTCATAGCACTTAAGTAACTTGCCCAAAGTCATATAGCTAGTGAGAAGCAGAGCTGGGGTCCCGAACATGACCCAAAAGCCCATGTTCTTAATCACATGCCCTTTTCTGGGAATTGGTTGGAGTATGTTCATTTCCAAGGCAAACCATTCAGTATCACAGTAATCCAAGTCTATGCCCTGACCAGTAATGCTGAAGAAGTTGAAGTTGAATGGTTCTATGAAGACCTACAAGACCTTCTAGAATGAGCACCCATAAAAGATGTCCTTTTCATTATAGGGGACTGGAATGCAAAAGTAGAAAGTCAAGAAATATCTGGGGTAACAGGCAAATTTGGGCTTGGAGTACAGAATGAAGCAGGGCAAAGGCTAATAGAGTTTTGCCCAAAGAATGCACTGGTCATAGCAAACACCCTCTTTCAACAACACGAGAGAAGACTCTACACATGGCTATCACCAGATGGTCAATACCGAAATCACATTGATTATATTCTTTGCGGCTAAAGATGGAGAAGCTCTGTACAGTCAGGAAAAACAAGAACGGGAGTTGACTGTGGCTCAGATTGTGAACTCCTTATTGTCAAATTCAGACTTAAATTTCTTTCTTAAATTAAAGAAAGTAGGGAAAACCACTAGACCATTCAGGTATGACCTAAATCAAATCCCTTATGATTATATAGTGGAAGTGAGAAATAGATTCAAGGGATTAGATCTGATAGAGTGCCTGAAGAACTATGGATGGAGGTTCATGACATTGTACAGGAGGCAGGGATCAAGACCATCCCAAGGAAAAAAAATGCAAAAGGTAAAATGGCTGTCTGAGGAGGCCTTACAAATAGCTGTGAAAAGAAGAGAAGTGAAAGGCAGTGGAGAAAAGGAAAGAGATACCCATTTGAATGCAGAGTTCCAAAGAATAGCAAGGAGAAATAAGAAAGCCTTCCTCAGTGATCAGTGCAAAGAAATAGAGGAAAACAGCAGAATGGGAAAGGCTAGCGATCTCTTCAAGAAAACTAGAGATAACAAGAGAATAAATATTCTATGCAAAACTGAGCACAATAAAGGACAGAAATGGTATGGCCCTAACAGAAGCAGAAGATATTAAGAAGAGGTGGCAAGAATAAACAAAAGAACTGCACAAAAAAGGTCTTAATGACCCAGATAATCACGAGGGTGTGATCACTCACCTAGAGCCAGACATCCCAGAATGAGAAGTCAAGTGGGCCTTAGGAAGCATCACTACGAACAAAGTGAGTGGAGGTGATGGGATTCCAGTTGGGCTATTTCAGATCCTAAAAGATGATGCTGTGAAAGTGCTGCACTCAATATGCCAGCAAATCTGGAAAAGTCAACAGTGGCCACAGGACTGGAAAAGGTCACTTTTCATTCCAATCCCAGAGAAAGGCAATACTAAAGAATGCTCAAACTATTGCACAATTGCACCCATCTCACACACTAGTAAAGTAATGCTCAAAATTCTCCAAGCCAGGCTTCAACAGTACGTGAATTGTGAACCTCCAGATGTTCAAGGTGGTTTTAGAAAAGGCAGAGGAACCAGAGATCAAATTGCCAACATCTGCTGGATCATTACACCAAAGCCTTTGACTCTGTAGATCACAACAAACTGTGGAACATTCTTCAAGTGATGGGAATATCAGAGCACCTTACCTGCCTCTTGAGAAATCTGTATGCAGATCAGGAAGCAACAGTTAGAACTGGACATGGAACAACAGACTGGTTCCAAGTAGAGAAAGGAGTATGTCAAGGCTGTATATTGTCACCATGCTTATTTAACTTCTTTGCAGAGTACATCATGAGAAACACTGGGCTGGATGAAACACAAGCTGGAATCAAGATTGCTGGGAGAAATGTCAGTAACCTCAGATATGCAGATGACACCACCCTTATGGCAGAAAATGAAGAACTAAAGAGCTTCTTGATGGAAGTGAAAGAGGAGAGTGAAAAAGCTGGCTTAAAACTCATCATTCAGGAAACTAAGATCATGGCATCTGGTCCCATCACTTCATGGCAAATAGATGGGGAAAGAATGGAAACAGTGACAGACTTTAGTTTTGGGGGCTCCAAAATTATTCCAGATGGTGGCTGCAGCCATGAAATTAAAAGACACTTGCTCCTTGGAAGAAAGGTTATGAGCAAACTAGACAGCATATTAAAATGCAGAGACATTAGTTTGCCAACAAATGTCTGTCCCAAAGCTATGGTATTCCCAGTAGTCATGTATGGATGTGAGAGTTGGACTATAAAGAAAACTGAGTGCTGAAGAATTGATGCTTTTGAACTGTGGTGTTAGAGAAGACTCTTGAAGGTCCCTTGGACTGTAAGGAGATCCAACCAGTGCATCCTAAAGGAAATCAGTCCTGAATGTTCATTGGAAGGACTGATGTTGAAGCTGAAACTCTAATACTTAGGCCACCTGATGCAAAGAACTGACTCATTCGAAAAGACCCTGATACTGGGAAAGATTGAAGATGGGAAGAGAAGGGGATGACAGACGATGAGATGGTTAGATGGCATCTCTGACTCAATGGGCATGAGTTTGAGTAAACTCAGGGAGTTGGTGATGGATAGGGAGGCCTGGCGTGCTGCAGTCCGTGAGGTCGCAAAGAGTCAGACACAACTGAGGGACTGAACTGAACTGATGTTAACACCTGAACTCTGGGCCAACTTACATATATCCTGTTAGAAATTTAACCACCCCCCCACCAGAATGCTTCCATGTTATGACAGTTACCTTCTTTAGTACTTTGTAAACATACAAAATGTTATATGGCTAAATATTATATCACTCATGTCAGCATCCTTTAAATTACCTAGTGATCATGCATACTAATTTTGTGGTAATAGAGAGAGCCATGGAAGAATCTTTGTTGATAAACCTATTCCATAATTAAACTTTAAATATATTTCATTCTGAATTAAAGTATGACTTAACATGAAATCCAAGGTAGAGGGCAAGGGCAAAAAAGTTATTTCATGACAGATCAGTAAGGTGTCTGAGTCCATTCACGTGTCCTGGGTGTTCAAAAAAGTTACACATCAGTGATCAAGCACCATTAGATAAATAGGCAACAACACAAAGTCTTGTGTTGGGAAAAAGGGATTACTACCTCTTTCCAAAGTGAGGTCATTCACCTGTTCTAACACTTCCAGTTTTTGACTCATAGTTATTCCCACTATTCTTTCCCCCTCTGCTCCCTTCCTTTAATATTGCCACCCCCACTCAGTCCCATACTGTGTTTAAACATCATGACAGTTGTAATTAACATGTAGTGAGTTTTTCCCAGGCACTGGACACTGCGTTCTGAGTTTTACAAACATCATCTCTATTTAATGTTCTGCTAAGTGCTTTTTATTAATTATTCTTTGTTAACTCTTGCAGCTACTCTATAAGGTAGGTGCTATTATTATTTACATTTTGCAGATGAAAAAGAGGAAGATCAGAAAGAATGATTAACCTGCCAAAGGCCACCTAGCTAGTAGGTGGTGGAGCCAGGGAACTGCCCAGGTCTTCATGACTCTAGGGTTTGCACGCCTAAGGTCTCAAACTCTCTTTTGTCCCTACTGCCTACCATTTCCCATTGCCTTATTTCCTGTTTTTCTTTGGACTCAGACTTACTGAATGGGTCAGTGCTCTTGCCAAAAGTTATCTCCCTTGGCCACCAAGCTCTGTAATCCCCTGATTCAGCTGGGTCACCAGCATCTCATCTTGCTTTCCAAATGTTGCTTTTCTCCCAGGTTTTGTCATTTTGCTCTTCTCTTTGCTAAAGGCTCCTTTTTAATCTTGTAGACACTTGACCAAGTCTCTCACCCTGACTCCTCTCCTGAATTGTACTGCTTCTCTACTTACTTGTTAGATGTTTCCACTTGGATGTTTCCTTACCATTTCAAACACATGCCTCAAACATGACTTTGCTTTTTATTAACCTCTGTGTTTCATCTTAATTTTTCTATGTAAAGCCTCCATCAGCTCACAATCGCCTTCACAATAAAGTCCACATTTTACTCAGGCATTAAAGTTCTTCCAGATAACCCTTTGGTGGAACTTTTCAACCTGATTTCACCTGTTCCCTGAAATGAACTACCATTTTAGCCAGGTTGATTGAGCCACTGTCCTTCAAATATCTGATTCACCTCCCTGCCTTCTTTTAAGACCCAGTGCATGGTCTGCTTACTGTGAGAAACCTTTCCTGAGCACTCATCAGGAACCAGTCATAGGGGATTATTTGGTCTTTTCCTGTGTCCATGCTTGGTCTCCTAAATTACTCAATAGGTTATGACCTTTGTAACCCCTCTAGTATCTAGTGTGGCACAGTGCCTGGCACATAGTCAGTACTTACTAAATATTAGTTGGTTGATGGGTTGTTTAGTAGGAGGGTAGAATGGAGAGGGACTGGCCACAAAAGTATGTCCAGAGAGTTGAACCCTTTTCTGGAGGACAGATACTATCTTTTCCTCATCTTTTTATATTGGGAGCCATAGCCAGTGCTTGGAGCGCAGTAATTGAGTTCAGCCAAGCAGTGACTCTGTGCCAGGCACTGTGCTAGGTGCTGGGTAAGGTTTCTAAATGAATGAAGGACTTTTGAAGTTGTTCCTCTGTTTCCCTACTTCTGTTTGTCCACCTTTCCTGCTGGTGAATTTCAGTGTTTCTGTGGTTGTCAGGTATTAAGAGTCCCAGGGCACAGCCCAAGATGCTTCCTCTCCAGAATGGGTCTCTTCTCCAAACTGGGGCTACTCCCCTGGTATGCCAGAAAACCTCCAGGTTGGTCACAGCTCTTTCTGGGATCAGCATGTAAAGAAAACTTCACCCAGGTGATAGCCAAGAAACGTCAAAGAGGACAGGAAAGTCAGAAGAAACTAAGACATCTTGGACCACTAGATGATTTCTGGCAGGAAAGGTAAGGCCCTTCCCTTTAACAAGTCTGAATCTCTGGGCCTGTTGAAATTCTGTAGGCTTGATGTACAATGTGGCGTTGCAAGGATTCAGAGGGCACCTCAGGTAGGATACCCAGGACAAACTGAAGACATCTAAGGAATGCTGGCGGAAATGCTTTGGGACTGCAGAAAATATTCTTGCCTTTACGTGTGTTTTTGGCAGAAAGGGGATATTAAACTGTGATCCTGTGTCTAAAAAGGTCCAGGATAGGTCTGCTGAAAACAAGGGACTTGGAGATGAGATGGATTAGAAATGAATAGTCCCATTGCAGTCATGCAAATACAAATACACCTCATTTTATGCAACAACTGTAATTTCTAAATCAAATTATATTTTAAAAGTGTTAGGGAGGTGAGCTATTTAAAGGAACCCAACAGTGAAGCCTTTTTGTAATATGATTAATTACCTCCTGATAAATCTGGACTTTTCTTATATTAGGTTTGCCCATCTGTTCAGCTTTGTTAAGCAGATAGCACCAAAATGGGCTCTTCTCCCAGACTCTTATCTCCCCGGGGGTCTGAGAGTTAGGTCTTCTGAATGACGAGTAAAATGCCAGAGCAATTGGCGGCAGGAAGTACTTTTGTGGAGTAAGAAGCTCAGTACATATTTAGATATTGAATTAGGTACCTGGTTTATTTTATTCAAGGCTGGTTGATGTTGTGACACCACTCTGGAGGCTGAGCTATGAAGAACAGCTCAAGGTAGGGACCCAGCTCAAGTCTTCACTACTCTATCCCATCAGGTACTAGACTTGTAGGAAGCTTGGCTGGAAAGCTCTACCCAGATGCCCCAACAGGTCCTTAGAAAAGCAATATGCTAATGAATCTGAAATTTTCACTTTAGGCCAGTTATGTCTTCCAAACACTAGAGCCTTATATCCAAATGCCTGTTTCCTTTCTTCCTTGAATTTTTTGTGTGTGTGATACTTACAGCTCTGTGTATGTGTGTAGCAACTGTTCTTACTTCATATATAGCTGCATTTTCCAACATGGTAGCCACTAGCTACATGTGGCTATTTAAATTTAAATACAGTCAATTCTGCTCTAATGCTTGTTTTGAAAATGAAAATTTGTTCCATTTGAGGTATTAGGGAACAATTTGAACATAATGCAGATTTCATATTTGCTTAGTAATGACTTCATCCATAAGATAAACATAAGATAAAACATAAGAAACACAAGATAAAAGATAAAAGATAAACTGAGCTGGGTACGAATTCATAAAATGAACAAATGTACACATATCATACATCTCCCGGCTCCCTCAGTTCACTGAGTGTGTTATGAGCCACAGCCATTCACATCTGCTGTGAGAACTTTCTGTTCCACCCACATAACCCTCTTTTCACCATTTCATGGTAACTCACAAGTGGATAGCCACTTCCACAAGCAAGTTTCAGGTCTTTGTGGTAACGTGCCATCCCATTTATACATTGCTTAACCATTTAACATGCAGAAAACTGTGTTGTTTTTATTAGTTTCCTACATTTTCTGTGAATGTAACTGATAAAAGTTTGGAATGTGAGTGCGCAATCCCATTTTCCTGTGAGCCCTGTGATTTTTTTGGAGTATTGTGCATAGTATGGAGTAAGAATGCTTGTCATACATGATAGCAGGGCCAACTGCTATTAAAATGAAATAAGATGAAAAATTTGGTTCCTCAGTTGCATGAGTCACTTTTCAAGGGCTCAGTAGCCACCTGTAGCTAGTGTAGGCTGCCGTATTATAGAGAACATAACACCAATAGAGAACATTTCCATTATCACAGAAGGTCTACTGGACAGCACTAACATATAGCTGGAATGTTCAGTCTGAAAGGTCAGATAGAACGATGAGTTTACACAAGAGCTCACTTAACCTTTTCCCAATACCATGTTAGATCTGTGGCTGTCCCATCATTCTGAGTTCCTTATCTGCTGAGACCATGACCCAAGGATTCATGGGACTACTTTCTCTCATCCTGTTTGTTTTCTATTCTTTGAGTTGATACTGCTGAAGTTGTTTGTTTCATTGCTTATGTTCTTTTGCAGGTGAAATTTGAAGCTCAGAAGAAAATTTTTCAGAGACTAGATAATTTTACCTTCAAGGGCTTAATGGAGTCAATATGACAACAACTGGACTCAGTTCCAAGGGGCTCTGTTGTTTTCTCCATCCTATTATACCTTCTGTAAGTCCATACTTCCCTATCCTTTATCTACTAAGTCTCCTTAATAGCTAATAATATCAGCCAATACTTAACTGGGCACTTGCTGGGGACGAGGCTCTATGCTAAGTGAGTAACATGCATCATTGTCTTGTTTTACTGTTTGCAGTCACACTGAGGGGTAGACACTATTATTTTACAGATGAATACTTGAGTCTCAGTGATTTTATTACTTTTGTCTATTTTAAATTTTTAATTTTTGGCTGCACTGAGTTTTTGTTGCTGCACACAGGCTTTCTCTGGTTGCAACAAGCAGGGGTCTATTCTTTAGTTGTGTTGTGTGGGTTTCTCATTGTGGTGGCTTCTCTTGTTGGCAGAGCATGGGCGCTTCAGTAGTTGTGGCACATGGGCTTAGTTGCTCCATGTCATGTGGAATCTTCCTGGACCAGGGATCAAACCCATGTTCCCTGCATTGGCAGGCAGATTCTTAACCACTGCACCACCAGGGAAACCCAAGAGATTAAATGATTTGCTGAAGGACACACATCTAGAAAGTGCCAGATCTAAGGTTTATACTTAGGTTGATCTGATGCAAAGCCACTTTTTCAACCAGTACACATTGCTGCTTCCTTAAAAAGATCTCAGACTTTGGAAAACTTATAATGAGGCTGCAGAGAGGCAGAATCTAATTTGTGGCAGAGGTTGACAAACTATGGCCCAAAAGCCACATCTGCTCTGCTGATTGATTTTGTAAATAAAGTTTTATTGGAACACAGCTGAGCTCACTTGTTTATGGATTATCTGTGGCTACTTTTGCACTGCTGTGGCAGAGTTAAATAGTTGTGATAGGGACCATACGGCCTGCAAAGCCTAAAATTATTTACTCTCTGGCCCTTTATTGGGTTTCCCAGATGGCTCAGTGGTGAAGAATCTGTCTTCCACTGCAGGAGACGCCAGAGACTTGGGTTTGATCCCTGGGTTGGGAAGATCCCCTGGAGAAGGGAATGGCAAACCACTCCAGTATTTTTGCCTGAAAAATTCCATGGGCAGAGGAGCCTGGTGGGCTACGGCCAGGGGTTCACAAAGAGTTAGACAAAACTAAGCACACATGTACACTTCCTTTATGGAAAAAGTTTTTCAGCTCCTGTTTTATGGAAAGATTGGGACTCTTTTTCTTCTATGAAGTGTCTATGGAGTGCTTTTATCTTCTCAGCCATGGACTTTCATGTAGTCATACCTCCCAATCAAGCATCTTTTATTTTTTTCTCATCCAAAGAACACTCTTTCATTCTTTGTATTGTTGTCCTGCTTGGTTTTAATTGACCTGTTGTCCCTATCCTGTCCTTCTGCCTTCTCCAGCCTGTCATTGATGGCTACTGAAATAAGTCCACCTTCTCTGTGACAATCCAAAGACTGTGGGGTACTACCTAGGAACTTGGAGAGGTCAGCTGAAGCATGTACCTAGTAGAAATAACAAACCAAACACTGAGAGGAAAGGGGAGGTTGCAGAGAACAGTGTCTGTGGGAGTGGAGAGGAGTGGGAAATATGGTGGATTTAAAGGAGAAGGTTGAATTTGAAGCCTTTGATGCCCCATGGACTGTAGCCCCACCAGGTTCCTCTGTCCATGGAATTCTCCAGGCAAGAATACTGGAGTGGATTGCCATTCCCTTCTCCAGGGATCTTCCCAACCCAGGGATCGAACCTGGGTCTCCTGCTTTGCAGGCAGATTCTTTGCCATCTGAGTTACCAGGGAAGCCCAAAGGAGAAGGTTGAATTGGAAGCCTCTGATTCAGAGCACGATCACAAGGTTAATTGGAGATGTGGTATGTATATATACACAATGGAATATTATTCAGCCACAAAATAATGAAATAATCCCATTTGCAGCAACATGGATGGACCTAGAGGTTATTGTATTAAGTGATGTAAGCTAGACAGATAAAGAAAAATATTATATTGCTTATATGTGGAATCTAAAAAAAATAATACAAATGAACTTATTTGCAGACCGGAAATAGATCCACAAACACAAAACAAATTTGCAATTACCAAAGGGGAAAGTGAGGGGAAAGGATAAATTAGGAGTTTGGGATTAACATAGACACCACATTACTATATATAAAACAGATAACTAACAAGGACCTACTGTATAGCACAGGTCCTTGTGCTATATATTAGACTATACTGAATATTCTGTAATAACCTTTAAAGGAAAAGAATCTGAAAACATATATATGTATGTGTGTATATGTGTATATATCTGAATCACTGTGCTGTACATGTGAAAATAACACAAAATTGTAAATCAACTATACTTCAATAAAAAAGACATAAAAAAACAAGGTTAATTGGGGATACTTTTTGGTGAGTAATTATTCTATTATAGTGCTAGCAATCAACCTCCGCCCCCAGCTTTCTTCCTCTAAAAACCATATGCCTGAGACCTGGTAAGCACTTCATCAATGTTAATGCTGGTACTGTTGCTCTCTCATTATCATCACTGTTGTCATCATTGTCATCATTATTGTCTTCGTTTTATGTTACTTTCTGTACTGACAGCGGTCTCCTGCTTATTAGAGAGATGCCCTTTCTATTTTACATCCCTAAGTCCCTGAAAACTAGAGCTTTCTGTGATAAATCTACCTTAAAAGAATTGGTAGGGAAGGTGAGTTCTGTGAGGAAAATCACAATGTCATATTTCTGAGACTTAATTCCAGTATCCGTTCCCAGATTCCATTCCTGAATTTTCCATTTGCCCATTTTCAATAAATCCACTTGAAAAAACCATCTTTTTATATTAGTCACACTGTTTAATATCCATATGCCTTAAACTACAGTTCATTAGGGCAGGCACTTGGGTTTCTTTTTTCCCCCCTGTGTACTGAATTAAATGAGTATATGACGTCAGTGTTCTGTTATTCACTAACAGAAAAACAAAACCCATTACATTTTATTTCCCTCTTAAAATCTGAACAGAAAGCATACATTGTCATATCATGCATTTGTGGCAGGAGAGAAAATATTGAGAACTAGCTCTGTTAAGAATAGGTGTTTTAATGGCCAGGCCAGGAAGCAGGTTTTTCCTTTGGAAAATGTCCTTGTGAGCATGAATTAGGTACTTTGCTTCTTCACATCTTCATATGCCTCTTTGGAGGAGAGAATTTGAGTTGCCAGACATTCTTCTACATTATCTTTTAGGAAGAAAACCCATGTAAATCAAATTTTTTTTCTTTCCATAGACAGGGACGTAGTCTGTGTACGGTCTAACCATCTGAAAAACATCCCTGAGAAACACAATCAAGTGGCACAGGTAATAAGGAACAAAGAAAGGCTGGTTGAAGATGACCCAGGGCATTGCAGTCTAACTACAGCAACCCTGACATTTTAATAATAGAACCGCATCTAGTGCTGCAGGGGAGGAGGGGTTCTGTTCTGAAAGTGTACCTCTTAACGTCAGAGAGAACATTGCTAGTGTTTCATTTCAGAGAGGATGGAGAAGAGGAGAGAGAACTGCATCCATTATTGCAAATGTCAAATGTCCAAGGAATTTAATAGGGGGAAAATTTAGAACATAGAGGTACTGATGAGGACAGGATAGCAGGTAGCATATGTCTGAAATAGTGGGAAGGCTAGTGTTTTCAGCAGAACAAGGTTGAAAAATATAATGAGAGATGTGGGAGTGGGCATAAGACATCTACATCATGACATTTTTACATCCTTCTGTTTCATGTACCCATTATTTACTGAGTACCTACTATGGGTCAGGTACTGTGGTAGGTGCTGGGGTCCAGGGATGACTCAAACATGGTGCCTGCCCTCCTGGAACTTAAAAAGGCAAAAGCCTTACTTACAAGGACTAAACAGGACTCCCAACTGACATACTTGTTCCCTATTTATACTTACCAGTATCCATCAGCTTTCTGACACTTGGTGGTTCCTTCTGATAGGATACATCTTGACCTGAAAGATTTCCTGGCCAGGACATAGCTCTCATCATAGCATCATTCTCCAAAAATCTTCCTACATGACCCTTATCAGCATCTTCTCCCATTGTATTCAGTGACTATTCTAAATTTTTACCTCTCCTCGAATTTCCTATCCCATCACATTTACCTTTGCTTTTGACAGATGGCTGTGCCTGGTTCTTCACTGGAAAATTAAGACCATCAGATGAGAACTCTCTTAGCTACTTCCCCTACCATCTACCAATTTTGCTGAAACCTTGCCCCCCTTTTTCCTCTTATCTCATTGAAATGCTGTCAGTTCTCCCTGTCCAAGGCTGTTCTTCTTGAAACACCATCTTGGACTCATCTCTCTCCCCAGGATCCTTGCTCCTTCATTACATTCCCTCTTTCACCTATTTATTTACCCCTTTTCCCCACCTCTGTCAGCTCTTTTCTTTCAGTTCATAATCATATTCAGTATATTTCATCTTTTTAAAAAAAATCTGATGGTTCTTGCTTCTGCCTCCAATAATCCCTAGGAATCAATCTTTCCAAAGTTATCAGTGACCTCTGTTTTGCCAAATTTAATGGAAACTTTCTGCCCGTAACATATTCAACTTTTCTCTGCCTTTGGCACCACTTCTTATTCTTATTTTCCTCCTTGGGAACACTTTTTGTTTGGTTTCTGTGATACCATTCTCTGATGATTTTCCTCCTGTTTCACTGGCCAAAATCTCTTAGTCTTTCTCATGGGATCTTTTTCTCATTTTCTTTCCCATGATAAGTGTTGGTATCCTCCAGGACTCTGCCCTTGGCCTTCTTTTTGAATATATTCATGGGAGATTGCACACCCCTATAGCTGATGATTGGAATCAGTCAGTCAGTTCAGTTGCTCTGTCGTGTCCGACTCTTTGCAGCCCCATGGACTGCAGCACAACAGGCTTCCCTGTCCATCACCAACTCCTGAATTTTACTCAAACTCATGTCCATTGAGTCGGTGATGCCATCCAACCATCTCAT